GCGCGGAAGGGGGGCGGGGGGGGCCAGCCTCTCCTCCGGGAGGCCGGGTGGTTGTGCCGGGTGCTGCGTCCTGCTGGCACGAGCGCAGAAGGGATGAGGAGGAGCGAGGGAGGGTGCTGAGGCACCAACTGCCAGCCCATGTTTACCATCCCCTTGACTGGCAGGCACATATCTTATTAAGTGTACCCAGTTGAGGCTCTGCAAGCCTAAAATCCCGGTTTAATTCAGCTGGGGGGAGAGGGGGACAGGAAACGTGTGCGGGGTCACAAGATACACACATCCCAAGAGCCTGTCCAATACAGTCCACATAGCTCATCCCTGTGCAGAGGGAAGATGAGCTCCACCAGGACCAGGTACCTACTAAATAAAAACTGAAATTGCTTGCCAAAGTTGCTTGCCAAAGACTGAAGTAGTCTTTGCCCCCCCCCCCTCCCAAGGAAGTCTCCGAAATGGAGAGAGCCCACAAAAGCAGAAAGCAAAACCACAACACTCAACTCTCCTATTATACACAGATTTGCAAACAGCGTTTGTCTGGGTACCAAAAAAAAAACCCCGGGTAGGTCAGCAGCGCCCATCCAAAGAAAACAAATCTCACAGATATTTTAAGAGGAAACACACTTCCAGTAGCCTCCACGCCTCTCCAGGGGGAAGCAGAATATCCAGTTTTTAATTGGCAGCTTAGTCAGAGGCCGCTCCGTCTTCAGCTGCCCTCACCTTGCTCAAACAGACACCCCGTGTTCAACCGTCTTCCTAAAATGGGCTTCGGGGATGCTCTTACGCAGCACTCAAGCCAGTGTTTACAACTTGTGCCAATTATCTGGGGGTGGGGATGGAGTACAAACATACTGTGTCAGCACTCCCCTGAAAAACTGGGAATCCCAGCAGCACAACCAGGACACTGGCCAAGGTCAGGAGGAACTAAAAACTGACCAGACCTGTTCGCTTGCTCTAGTTTAACAGACAAGAAGGATTCAATAAATCTTAAGGAAACCCTCATGTATTTTGAGGCTTTACTGCACAAAAAGGGAGTGCAGATTCCATGCTTTTTCTGTACTAGTCTGAGTTCAGAGCAGCTTGGCTTCAGGATGACAGCAACCAGCAGCAGATACCACACCTGAAGTCCACCAACAAGCTGGCCAGTTCTGGAAGGAATGCCCTTTGGGTTTGACTCAGCAACAAGAAAAAAAAACAGGAACATGTGGATGGAAACGAGGGAAAAACAGTTTTGCCTTTAAAATCTGCTTTAAGGAATTACTGCAGTGCAACAACTTCTGGTAGGTCACCGAGACCTGACCAAGTTCAAACAAGAACAGATGAACACCGGAGAAATGAGCAACCAGAGTTTTTCAGAGAACAGCAACAAGAAGCCATTTTCAGCAGGCAAGAGTCTCAGCATGGAGACGGAGCCTTTTCCAGGGAGAACGGCACGAAGCAAACCCCTGAACGAGCACACCTAAATATTAACAAGAACTTATACAGCCCATATTACCTCAAGGAGGGGACTACATGGAGCCCTCTCGCTCCTTTTGGCTTCAAGGCATCTGAGGGAGAGGACAGCTTGGGATCCCAGCAAATTAAGCAGGAAGAGAACAGCCAGTCTGTAAATCTTTTAATCTCATGTGACAAATTCTAATCCAGATCCAACAATCTATTAAGAAAGCAGGAATTACAGACTGGGAAAGGAGCAAAGGCCAAAATTTGTCACCACCCTATTTGCAACACAAACCCCTCAATACACTTTGAGGAGCCCACACCCTCATCAACCTCCCGCAGAAGGCAGCAAGCAGATACAATAAATCACCGCCTCCTTTTCTCTTGCCTTAAGAAGTACTCCCCCTTCCTAAAAGGGGAATACTCTGTACCTTGACTATGAAAAAGATGAGTTAATCAGACTAATAATACCAACAGCTGCCAAGGTGGCCGCATACAGCTGATGCTTGCAGAAGGCACAAGTCAGGGATACCACCAGCTCCTCAGGTTGCCGACATAGTAACGCGTGCTCCAGCAGGACCCCCTCAGTCTCCTTCTACTGCACCAAAACATGGTGACATAGGAATAAAATGAAAAAAAAAACAGCTGAAGCAGCATGGCTCCAAGTATCAATCCCACTAGGTGTTCTGACAAGTCTTCAACGAAGAGAGGCTCGCCCACGCCACCACAGCGAAGGCTGACGGCACCCGGCTGGACCATCCCAGCGCCGGCAGGGAACGCAGGGCTGTCCTTCTGCTCTGCGGGGGTCACGGG